CACGGGGAGCGAGCCAGAAGCGTGCAGCCCACTGGCAGCCGGAGCTGAAGCGCACAGCCCCACGCTGCTGGGGTAAATATTGACCAGGACACACTTCCTTTCGCCATGCTCCAGGCTGACGCACACAGGGAGCTTGTCGAGCCGAGAAAATATGGAAGGAAAGAGGTCTGCTGTCTTCCCGTCCTATCTCGTTTCTGATCTGGCTACACCCTTCTCCCTCTCCCCCTCACACGCGCTCGCAGACGCAGAAGGGAAACCAACTGGCTTCCTTTTCTTGGCTGCAGTCGACTTCCTTCCCTTTGAGTCCAGCAGCCGGGGTTAGTCAGAGAAACCTTTAAACTCTGCCTCGCAAACCGCAGCAGAGAACATAAAAGAGACAGAGGCAGCGAGACGGAACTGGAAGCCAGCAGCGGGCCGGCGGCCCGCGTTATCAGTGTCACATTTAAAACCAACGCTGGAGCAGCCACACACCAAACCCAACAGGAACTGCACACACCCCACCACGCGTCCCACCCTGGCCTCAGAGACACAAACAAGTCTCGGCGCAGGAGACATCCAAGTATTTATTTAGCTGGCCAGGGTAAAGCCCACACACCGTCCTTGGGGAAATTACGCATCTGCTAGCGCTTCCCTGCCTTCCTCTGGGGGGGCCATAAAAACACAGCGTGGACTGCAAGGGCAAGGCACGCTGCCCCGAGCCACGCAGGCTGCAGGAGGGGCATTACGCCGTCTGCGAAGGACATCCAGCGGTTGCAGCCTGGACAGACCATCTCCAGTTACCTTCTGGCACGTGACCCTGAGCCTCTCTGGGATACCTGGCTCCAGCTCTCCAGAGCCGTCTCCAGAGGAGCTGATGCCAGATGTTGGGATGCTGCAGGGCCGCTCCAGCATCTCCAGACCAATGTGACTGGTGGACACAACCTGCTGAGCTGTGGGCATACGGGCATAGGCCTCCCCACCACCTCCCAGCACCTCCAGTATTGACGCTTTGGTGTTAAGGACATTATATAAATAACTAATGTCAACGTGTAATTAGAGAAGGGCCTGAAATAAAGCAGCAGATGAGGCCCCTCTCTGCCTGACGACATAGGACACAGTGTGGGAGAAAGAGCCAGAATCAAGGGCATGGAAAAGGGAGCTAGGCAAGAAAACCCGGAGTGCCATGGAGGGGGGACCTCCTTTGGCATAAAGACCCCTCCTGTGGCTTTGGGCTCCACATTCATTACTCTCAGCGTAAAGGGCCTTCGACTGGCAGGGGGGAAAATGACCTATCAGAGCTATATACAATAATACTCTAAGATAAGCAATTTCCTATCCAGGAAACTCCATTTGGGAAAATTCTACCTTCGCAGAGCTTCTCAAATCAGCACTAAAACATCACGAGTATGGGGGTTTTGGCTGAATTCACTGCAGAGACAACACAGACAATGCAGAGAAATGTGAGTCTGATTACAAACACATCCTCCCTGCCCTCATCTAGACCCATCACATGCTGTGTGTAAGGGGAGGAAGAGTGTGATGAGTTTACAGGAGAAGCCATGGAAAAAACCCAAACAAACGTAATGGGAAGAGAAATATGTCCACAGCTTCGAGAGCAGGACTACATCGGCCCTTGCTGCTTCCCACTGCCTGGGACAGGCAGCTTTATTTGTGCCCATTTTCTCATGCTTTCTTCTGATCTGGCTTGATCATCCTCCTTCAGCCTCGGTCACTGATACAGCGTGGCCTTGTCCGCCCATCCCTGGGCTCTGGTCTTCTGCCCTCACAGCACCAGCCTTTCCATCTTGTGATCTCCCCCCCCCCGCCATTTGACTCATTTCTCTCCCTGCCATATAGATAGCTCAGTCCTTCGTGGCCAGGAGCAGGGAATGCTGAGCTGCTCGGATAGAGCTTTGCCCCTGCACCTCTAACAGCCATGAGACCTCCCTCGTGATGGGGAGAGAGCAAAAAGGGAATTTAGATCTACCCCAGAGAAATCCTGGAAGTAACAGTTACTCCGTGCTGAGGAAGGGGTTAAGTCTGCATTGAAACTCGGAGTGCAACGAAGCTGTAACCACCAGTCTGGTTTTGCTGGTTTGGGGGCAGGTGAGTGGCTAGGAATTATCACCCTCCAACCCCCCCCAAACCATAACAGGTCTGCATTGTTTTTGCCTAAACCCTTTAACCGTTTGGGGTTTTTTAGTGGGTTGGTTTGGGTTTTTTTGCCTGAAACTCACTCCCCAGGCTCTTTTAAAATTCAGGCCCATGCTTCCCGAGCAGTCAGCAGCGGGCTCACTCAAAGGTCAGCCTGAGCTGACTTGAAACTCAGCCCGCACTTGCCTGAAACTCTGCCAAGCTCTTCCAAAAGGCTCGTATCCTGGCCTGAGTTTCGGGTTGCTAATCCAAGTCTCGCTGGGTTTCAGGTTTCCCTGCATGCTTTGGCTTTGCTCTACACAAGAATAGCCTCCGGCCACATCTACTCTGCTGGCTGGGACCCTTCCTGCCGGGGCAGGGGTGGCAGCAGGCGGCCACCTCCAATGCCAAGAAAGAGGAGGCAGGGCAAACAGGGCACGCAGCTTCCTCAGAGGCACAGGACTCAGACGGGCCCAATATCTATGACCCCGGGCTCATCATCCCTAAGGGACAGGTTCTGCAACTCCCCAGCTCTGCCCCTCTCCGGGCGCTGCCAGCCAGACCAGTCAAGGGGCTGTGGGGCCACCATCCCCTGCTCCAGCACTGGGTGGAGAACCTGGCAGGACGAGCTACAGCCATACCAACCACAGGAGCAGTTTGTAGGAGGAGAGGCAAGACCTAAACTGCCATGAAGCTCAGCAGTTCCAAATTAGCCCACTGCATTGTTTTAATCTGCATTACAGCACAGCAATACCAGACCGGCGCATGGGTCCGTTGCGGCTGTGGTGTTTCTGGCTCGGGACCAGCAGCCGTAAGGGCAGGTGACCGCTGTCGTGTCACAGCTATCTCGCTTTTCACGTTGCTCGCTGATGTGAGACAAACCAAGCACGCCAAGCTCTCTGCAAGTCATACCCAGACAGATAGAGCTATGCTATTTCTTTTAGAAGTCCTGAAAAGAGGCTGCTGGGCTAAATTTCCAACTTGTAGGAATCAGAGTTTCCCCACTGTATCCGACAGGATCAGTATTTTACCTGCGGATCTAATTTTTCCTGCCATTTCCACTAGATGTCACTTACAGCCAGAAAGTTAGCAGTTTCCTTAGGTTTTTAGCCTCCTCCTGATGCACAGGTCCATGCTAATCCTAAAAAGGGGGCTTAGAT